AAGGCAGCTATTAGGTAGAACTGTTAGATGCATCTCCAAAAAAGGAAGACACCCAATTCCTTGTCACTTTTGACTGCCAACTAAACATATGTACTATAATGAAAACTTGAAAAACCTACAGAGCATTAAGTTATTAAGTTATATAAGTGTATGTTGGTTTCGCTCTATTTTAAGACAAGCCAGTGGCATGAAAAGATGAGATGCAAAAGGGTGAAGGCTGACGAAACTGAAGGAATGTTTACTCGGCAAAAGGCAGTTGATCAAGAAGAGGGTAAACAATAGCATATTAATGTAGATTTTAACTATATAAAATCTCTCCTTACTGGGTGCTGTTAAGAGCCCAAAAGAATGATCACTCAGTTCCTACCCAGAGAGTGTGACATATCCATTTGCAGCCAGAGTTAAGAAATTTCTATGAGCAGAGGCTTAGCAGGAACAAGCAGGAGACATAGATCCTTTTAAAGCATAGTTGTCTATATCAAAGTTGTTTACCATTAGATCTCTTTCCAAGTATCAGTAACAATACTATCTTGATGCATCTACAGGTTACTCAGTCATACTTTGGTAACAAGATTACCTTTAAAATCCTTAAAAATCTTGGTTGGAAACACACTTTAATGTGGTCAATAATAGTCTCAAGTGCCTAATATTCTTTGTTGCTGGCTTGCTTGTCAGCCCCATAACCAGGTGCATCATGCTTATCAGTCTTTGCCTCATCTATTTAGCACTTTTTCTCTGTAGCCAGAAATGTCAGTACCAAGGCCATTCTCATGCTTTAAATTAAAACTGATCAACTGCTGGGAACCATTGACTACTGTACATTAAATGACTACCGTACATTAACTTGTTATAAATCTTTAGAGGGTCTGGAAAGGTAACATGACTGTACAAGTTTAAGCTGCTAAAAGAAACTGTATATAGAGAGGGGGGCACAGACACACTGCCCTTCAATGTTTAAGAGTTGGTACCAAAAATTAACTAAAATTTGAAAAGAATGGTGCAGAAAATGTTATTATAGGGATTCGAGAAATCTTGTAAGATATTGATCTCCTTGGCTGCAACCCAACAAACCACTTAAACATGTGTTTAAGCTCACAAGCAGTCTCATTGACTCCTCGTATTCATAAAGTTAAACATGTGCTTAAGTGCTTTCCTGGATTAGGGCCACAGTGCTCTGCACCATGCAAGACTGAATCTTTATATTGTATTTACCTTATATTTAACTGGCATAAGCCCATAAATGTTCCATAGCCAGAACTGCAGAATTCCACTGACGCATTCAAAATTAAGAACGAAATACACCTGCTCTTAATTTCATAAGAAAATGAAACAGGTTTTGTGCCGTTTAGCTTTAAAATAAATGTTTATGTTTAATTAGATACATTAATAATAATGATGATCTAAAATGATTTAACACCAAAATATTAATTTAACCTCCTGCTACTTTTAAATTCCCAGTTCAAATGATGCAGGATAAAAGAAGTGCAAGCTTGTCAAATTTGCACTAATGGACCAAAGTGAAATCCTTAGGCCCTTGGCACACATTCCCTATGGTGTCATTACTATTTGCCAGTATACCATCAAATTGAAAGCTGATGAACTGGTGTGGTCTTGAGACTGGGATTCGCAATCAGCTGATTGAGTTAACTGGTAATTGCATCTTAAGTGTAAAGTCTGCAAGGGACCTCACTAGTGTCGGATAAAGCTCATATTGGTGTTAATACAATGATATTCAATACACGGATAATACAAGAATACCTATAATACCAGACCTTATTTAAAAGTGAATATGAAGGGTTGTCTAGACTGATTTTTAAACTGCTTTAATTCATAGCTCTACAAAGTGTATCTTTCTAGATTGAGTTCAGCTTACTTAGGTTCAGTTAGACACACACTTTCTTAACAACATGCAATTTAAAGCAAAACATCTCAACCCCCTAAACAACTCCAAATAACTCCCTCCTTCAAAGCATACCCAACCCTTCCCCACCTTCAAATTGATTCTTTTTTTGCTTTAAGTGACCTGAAGATAGGAGTGTATAAACAAGCAACTAGTGCAGGATCTAACAAGATGCAAATTAAATCAGGCTACTTAGATCTTTATCTTACCCATTCTTGCTTTTAGATTCTCTTATAGAACAGAAAATGGAGATACATGGGTCTAACAGTGCCATGCCTGACTCCAAGGAAACCCAATTCTCACTTTACCCTAGCATAAATCTGTAGCAACCTTAATAATATTAAATACTTTGCATGGAAAGATGGTGTAGGTAACAAAGTACCTGATCTGGATTTCTTGTGGTCAGTGTGTTCCTGACAGGTTTTAAGTCCCCAGTGGGGGATGCCCTTCAGGTACCCGCCCGAAAGGCCTCTGATATCCCTGTCCAGAAACCCAGCCAGAGCTGCTGGGCATTGAATTTCGACAATCAGCTAACTGTTGGCTCTTACCAGAACAAGGTTCAAAAGACCAAGGGTTGTCCAGATGGGGCCAATGGTCAGCTGATTATCTGCATAGACAGCTCCAGATGAAGTGAACCTAGGACTGTCTGGTGTTTGGGTTGACAATCAGCTAATCCTTGGCCTTGATCTCTGGACAGCTGATTGTCTGGGTCAGGACCAACAATCAACTGACTGTTGGCCCCACATGCAGGGCTGCCACACCTGGCTTTCAATTGGCAAATGCAAGGGGAAACTGGGCACCTAATAAAGGTGCAATTGCGATCTGATCCGCATCCCAAAAATGTGTAGCACGAACTGAACTAATGTAGCTGATGTTAACATAGAGAGTAATAATAGTGAAATATAACCATGTTAGTCTTGTCCTATAAGCAACCTGAAAACTCCATTTTGTATCCTTCTGCTTGACATAAGTGAATGAACTCTGCATAGCCTTTACGTATGTGTGTGTGTAAAAGGGTGAATGGTGAGAGAATGGCATAGAAATGGGAGAAGATTTAAATGTTTATGTAAGCAACAAAGTGCCAAATGTAAGTTACCAGTCAGTAAACTAATTAATGAATGGTTGAAGAATCCCTTTTAGGCCTAGGGCACAACGAAGATAACAAGGAGCAGGAA